ATAATGGAGGTTAAACATATTTGAAGGAAACAGTCCTTTATTGCAGATTATTTTAAAATTAAAAATCTGAAAGTCTAGGAACGCATCATAAAAGCATCAAAAAGAACAAATCTCAAACATCTTATTTGAGGAAAAAAAAAAAAACCCTTCAAATATGGCTTTAGAGTTATAGTTTCCCTAGAATGAAACTTCAGCTCTTAGCCTCCCAATCTGATGATTGTGACTATATCTAGTTGGATTATTTGTTTTCTCAGCTCTTAGCCTCCCAATCTGATGATTGTGACTATGTCTAATTGGATTATTTGTTTTCTCCTATGTAAGAAAATACAGAGTGTTCTGTTTGTAGATAGGTCCTTTTAAACTCTTCATGTCCTCCCTCTTCCTGTTTTAATGTATTTAGTACAGGATCTACAGGGTCTCACTATGTAGATCAGACTCACAGTGCTTCTTTTTTTTTTTTTTTTTTTTTTTAGCTTTCCAGTGCCACAGGATTACAGGCAAGTGCCATCACGCTGTCTCAACTGCCGTCTCAGAGCGTGCCGGGGGCAGGGTCGGCATGGCTTGTGGTGCTGGGGATTGAACCCCAGCTCCTGCTCTCTGACTAAGCAGGTGCTTTAATCCACTGAGCTATCTGGCTAGCCCGTCTTCGTGTGTGTGTGTGTGTGTGTGTGTGTGTGTGTGTGTGTGTGTGTTAGCTACCTGAGCCAATCAACTTGTAAGGAAGAAAGGTTCATTTTGGCTCATAGTTTCAGACCACGATCTCTTGGGCCTGCTCTTCTGGGCGTGCTGAGAGGCGGTGTGCTGAGGAGCTGTGCACCGTGGTGGCACCATGGGACACAAAGCAGCTCCTCACCCTACAGCTGCGAGGGGCAATGAGAGGGAGCAAAGAGCTGAACTTCTTCCACAATGGCACACTTCTCCTCACCTAAAACCTGCCACAGCCCCACCAGTGAAAGGTTCTACCACCTCGTCATAGTGCTACAAAAGGTACCATCCTTTTAACCAATTACCAGTCCAATTGGTTAAATACAGGATGATTAAAAACTGCATTTTTTGTTAATTTTTAAGATTGAATATGACAGGAAATATAAAATGACAATTTTATCAAATTTATTCAATTTTTTTGTGTAAGGTGTATCTTAAAACATCCAATACAAAAGGTGCGTCATCAAGATCCAGTCCTAGCACAGGCCCCGTGAGTGTGTGGGAGAGCTTCCTGCTACCATGCACCAGCGGGACCTACTGGTCCCAGCCCAGGATCAGCATGGGTGAGACCCTCTTGTACCCCCTGGGGATGCCCCCACCACTCCACAGCACCTCCCCACCCCACCCAAAGAGTAGGAATTTCTGCCGCATTCTGGGAACCCCCAGACCCAGTAATAGACCAGGCCCTGTGTGTGGGGAGCTTCCAGATACCCTGTGCTGGCAGGACCTACTGGTCCCAGCCCAGGCGCAGCATGGGTGAGACCCTCTTCCACCCCCTTGGGATGCCACCCATGACTCCTTAGTACCCCCCCCCCGCCAGCCGAGTAGGAATTTCTGCCGCGTTCAGGGAACCCCCAGATCCAGTCCTAGCCCAGGCACAGTGAGTGTGTGGGAGAGCTGCATCTCCCCCTTACTCCATCTTGTCCCCTCCAGACACAGCTCAGGCCTGGCATACAGGGCTGGATGAAACCCTGCAACTGCATTCCCTGCAGAGAGTGTAGAGGACAGAATCACCCAGCTAGTCCAGGAGAACAACATCTTGACAGAGGGGCACAACAGGTTCACCCCCAAGGCAGCAACAGGAAACAGCTGAGCACAGCAGCCAGAACCAAGCCAGACACAGCTGGATAAATCCAAACTTTGTAGATCTGCACCTGAACTTCAGCAGGTGGTAAGGTTATAACTGCAACAAAGATCAACAACAAAGGTCAGAAGACAGTGCTACACAAAATGATGAGAAGGAACAAAATGCAATCTCAGAACCCAAGCCCACCAGTAACAAGTGCAGAAGACACTAACACAGAACAAATTGGGAATCACACAGCTGAAAGCAAAGAATCAACGGCTTCTGAAATAAACAGCTGCAGAAAGGTATAGAGTAACTCAGATTGGAAATAAAAATAAATCCCTGAATTAATAACATCTACAGTAAAAAATCAAATGAGACATATGGAGAAAACCCAGTGCCCACCCAGAACAAGTGCAGACACACTAGCTCAGCTCAAATGTATGAATTAATAGCGTCGATAGTAAATAAGCAACAGCAGAAAGTTACAGAGGAACTCAGAGTGGAATTCTTTTCTGAAATAAAAAAAGAATTATCAGAACTCGTAGCATCTGAAGTAAAGAAGCAACTACAGAAACATAGGGAAGAAACTTAATCTGAAAACAATACTGCAGTAAAAGAATTTATAACTGCTTCTAAAGAAGACATTGATAAAGAAATAGAGGAGATTAGAAAAATGACAGATTCCTTGAATGAACAATACAGGAAAGCAACAGATCGCATGAAGCAGAGTCAAAGAGATATACAGGAAATTAAAATCTCAATCACAAGCTTGCAAAACCGTTTTAAGTTAAAGTGAAGACAGAGTTTCAGATCTTGAAGACGCTGGTGCAGCTAGTGAAAAGGTAAGAAAGGATCTCTTAAAAACAACTAGGAGCACTTCCCAGGCAAGTGCAAGGGCCTGAGTTCAATCCCTGGTTCCACCCCCCCACAAAAAAAAAAAAAACTAGGATGCAGGAAACAATCATCTATCACCTGCAAGA